GAATTCACCATTGAAGGGTTGGAAATACTGTGTTTGGGGAACCGAAGACCTTTTTTTAATAGAAACAAGGCATTCCATTTTAGTCCTCATGGGTGACAATGCATCTACATTTTGAAAGACGTATGTGTCTATCCGCATCAGTATCCATTTACCATCAGGTAGTGTTCGTCTCGTTTTTCACCCTTATACTATATAAAACATATAAAGTAAAGCTAAGTAAAGTTAATAATAAACGATGTGTTCACGTTTCCTGCGTATTTTTTAAGTAATTCGTAGCGCTTAGGCTTATTAAAACAACCGGCATACGGTCACGCTACGTGTAGTCTCCATTTAACTGAAATTGATTATACTAGGGTGACTACATTTACGGCTTAGCTCAAATGTTGCCCGATTTGTAGAAGTAAAGAACTAGGTTTTGTCGTTGTAAATAATGTAGATTTTATGATATCGTGTATTAAACCAATGTTACATTATAAAACTAAAGTTACATTACTATTACACGCTCTTTCCTATAATTATTTGAGTAAAAAATAAATATTTGTTATGGCAATATCAGATGGTTCACTTTTGCCCTTTATTTTCAACGAATTTAGAAAAAAAAAGAAATATGAGCACTAAATTGTTCGTGTATTGGCATTGTGCCACATTGGCACCGTTCAATATTATACAAAAAATAAATGAATGAATCCCTTGTGTTTTTTCTGTATTAGGACTTTATTCAATTCTTGCGTACACACACAATTTTTTTCGTTCCAGGGGTTATCTTTCTGGTCTATAGTCGTTATGGAACATTTTTCATTCAACTTACTAATTGTTAATGGCATAAAAACGAAATTTGTGGACGATAAACGATGGTTAATAAATTGAGTTTATTAAACTATTAGTACTTACTGTAATCTTAAAAATAATTTAGCTTAGTTTTTAAATTTAGCTTTTTTTCATCTCAATTCTCAAAAGACCCTTTGTTACATCCCAGGGCGTTCAGACAGTTCAGGCAGTACCCAACTAACTTCAAGTTCACTAAGTTTGCTCCCTGCGCTAGCAGTGCTGCTTTACAGTGCTGTTTTTATAGATAATATGGTTGACGTAGTGTTTTTGCAGGTTGACTTCCTCATACCGAAGTATGGCGAAAATATCTGCCTGGAAGATAGAGGTGAATTTCTCTAAATTCATACTAAGCTTGAATTTGGGGCGCTCCCTATAAATTCCAAAGCCTACATCGAGGTCCATTCTTGACAGACAGAAGTACATTAAGAGCCGCTTCAGGCGATGATCGCATCGCTTATGTTGCCCTTAAACAGACAGTCCTTTGTAGATTGTTTAGCCTGTCCGCAATCGCCTTTTGGTTGATCTTATTACACCAAAAAATGGAGGCGTTGGTAATAAACGGCCTCACTATGCTGCTGTACAGCCATAGGATCATACTAGGACGCAAGCCCAAGTTGTTTTCAACCATACGACTCCACGTACCTAAAGTAATGTTTTCTTATGGCATACAATGCTAAGATGAGAGTTCCACGTTAGTTTTTGGTCGATTGTTATCTAAAAACTGCGTTTGCGGGTTTTTTGATAGAAAATGTTGCCAGATGTAATAATAATAATAATGTCCTCGAGACTGAATTCCGGCCACGGCGGCCTGCCTCAACGGAGGCTAGCCATCGGCCCAGGGACAGGATTATAGTGACCAAGTGTATGCGCAAGCACAGGTGCACTCTCTATTCCCTCACTCTCATAATCCGATGGGACGGTAAACCGACACGACCGGAGAGAGAACAGGCGCAGGACGAACGGATTTACGTGCTTTCCGAGTCACGGGGGTAAAACACCACCAACTTCCTGACTCCGGGCAACTACTGAGAATTTCTTGACGGAAAAACTCAATAATTAATTTTTTGGCCCGACCCTGGAATCGAACCCAGGACCTCATGATCAGCAGTCGCACTACTACAACCACTAGACCAACTAGACAGTCAAATGCCAGATGTATTTATTTATAAAGGGTGTCTCAGCGCCGATTTTAAACTTTGAATATTTATATAAAAAAAAAAACAATTGTGTTTATAATATTTTAATTGTAGTAAATTATAGTACATTAGTGCGAATTTTATGTACGGAATATTACACCGTCAAGATGTCTTCCATCACGACGAATGCACTCTTCAAAGCGGACTAACGAATTTGCAGAAACACGCTGCAGAACGTCAATTGATATGGCCCTCACTTCTGTCGTTATTTTAGTCTTCAGCTGCTCTAAATTCATAAGAGGGGTATCAAAAACTCTTGCTTTAAGATAACCCCATAAAAAAAGTCAGCTGGGGTTAAGTCGGGAGATCTGGGTGGCCACAATATGTCTCCAAAGCGGCTTATGATTTTTCCCGGAAACAACGCTTTTAGTGTGTCCATGGAGACCCTAGCTGTGTGGGCTGTGGCCCCATATTGCTGAAACCATACACCGGACTCATCAACATCCTCTTCTTGCAGCTGCGGTACAAAAAAGTTAATCATGTCGATATACCGCTCGCTCGTCACTGTAACCGTTGCACCTCGATCATTCTCGAAGAAAAATGGCCCGATGATTTTCTTCGCCGATATTGCGCACCATACAGTAACTTTGGGGCTGTGTAATGCCTTCTGATGTTTTTGTTTTGGATTGCTGGGTGACCAGTAACGGCAATTTTGGCGATTGACGTACCCTTCGAGGTGAAAGTGTGACTCATCGCTAAAATAAACATTGGACATCCCATTTTCCTCTGAAAAAATCCCTAACATCTTCTGACAGAAAATTTTTCGCTTCTTATAGTCTTCTGGTTTGATTTTTTGAACTATTTGGATTTTATAGGGATGTAATTTTAAGCCTAAGGCCAAAATTCGTTGAATACTTGAACGATGAAGATTCAAAGAGGCAGCATGTTTTCTAACTGATCGTCGTGGATGCTCCGCGACCGCAGCGGCGACGCGGTCGATGTTTTCAATCGATCGAACAGGTCTAATTCGAGGGCCAATTGAATGTTTCATTAAACATCCTGTCACTCTGAACTTTTTTACCCACGACTTAATTAACTGAATACTCGGGGCATCACTTAAACGGCGGATTTCATAGCGATTACAAAACTTGCGCTGTGCTTCCCTCAGCGAAAACTCGTTGCAAAAATACGCCTCTACTGTGTACGCGCGGTGCGCGCCAGACCACTGGGACATAGCGACTAAAAAAGCCCGCACTAATCACCTACCGAACGCTACCTCTCCCCTCCCGCTAACCCCGCCGGTTGCCAAGAAATTGGTATTTAAAGTTTAAAATCAGCGCTGAGACACCTTTTATAACCTATTGCCAGAACAAAATCCTTTAGACTATTAAAAAAAGCTATCCTCACGCCTTAACACATTACACACACATTTTTAAAAGTCTTGCTAGTGCACCTGCTTTGGTGTTGCAGATTTTCATGAACGGTGGCAATAACACAAACAGGTGAACCGCATTTTCGTTTGCCCATTCTTCTATTGTATAAAAGAACAAACCTTGATACGAAACAATTATTTGTAGACTGCGTCGCATTCAAACAACCACTACATTACCGTCGCGAAGTCGTCACACTGATTGTCCTACAAGTTTCGATTGGGTGGTCACAGTCGTTGTCAATTCATAGCATCGTTAAGTTGTTAAGCCCTAGAGTATGTGCGCCCTTATTTTCCCCATTTCACGGTATAACGTAGAACAAACAAGTTTAATCGTTTTAGGTCACAGTAGTCACACACAGTAGACCAGGTGATGGATGCCAGATAGGTAAATTGGTTGTAAGGAATACGGATGTCGTGTCGACGAGAAACGTGAGCAAGGACAAGTAATATATATATATATATGTATATATATATATATATATATTACAAGAATACTTATGAAAGTCATTTTTTACTTTTACCACTGCTTCGGAAAAAACCTCTGTTCTAGAAAGTTTTATTAAATGAAATCAAATTATAATATATTATTAATATATTATTTTATACACATATCATATTAAATATATTTTCATACGTGGTAGAGCCACGCTGCAGCTATGGTAGCACGAATGGGTTGGCTCGACCGGGGAATGATCACACTCTCACAGAATACTAGCGTAAAATAGCAGCTTAACTCTGCTGTGTTTCGTATGGTGAGTGTAGAGATTCGGAGACCCATTTTTACTGGAAACGAGGCATTCTGTCTTGGTCCTCAGGAGTGACAACGCATCTGCGTTCTGATTCTTAATCGAGGATCCTTGTCAACTTTGAGGACTATAGAATGCCTCACAGCCTGCAATATACTGACTCTCTTAAACGTTCAGTTTTCTCTGATGGCTGAAATCGCACATAGTTTAATTGTGTTTATAGTTGATGTCTAAGGACAAATGAGGATACAGTCTTAATACAATTGTCGCAATTGAAATTGGCATGAGATTAGTACTAACCTAGAGGAATTCTTAGGCAGTAAAGAGGTCCTATACCACCAGTTAGTAATGTTATAATTGCTATTAATTAAAAAATATTTTTACTGGATTTGTTAGAAGTAGTCGTTTATATAATAATTATAATAACATTGTAATTGTCCATACATGTGTGCCCTTGTTATCCCATGAACTATTGTCGTAAAAATTAAGCTAGTAACATTTGTTTATTAGAAGTGAAATAAAATGAAATCATGTCTGTATTAAAAATGTAGTTCCTCTACTTAGAAAAAAATCATTATAAGATTTGACTACAATATTTTTTTGAGACATAAAAGGCACACAGTGAACTTGCTTTTACTACACTAAAACGACTACATTAATAAGTAATATAGTTATTAATAGATTAAAGGTTTCGATTTATTTCACATTTCCCTTTGTCGGTTCCTATGTTTCTAACTTTACGAGATAGATAATACAATTTTGAAAATTCTCCTGGTTAAAAAATGTCATCGTAACTAATAATGACTTCATACAAGAAACTTTTAACATAATACACCTATTTATTTACTTCGTTTTCAGTTTCGACGTATGGCGAGAATTTCCCGATCGGATCGTGGGCTTTCCGTCTCGCTTGCACGTCTGGGACAATGTTACCGCGTCCTGGAAGTACCACAGCGAGTGGACCAACCAAATCTCTATGGTGAGTTAGCTTGAGATGAAAAAGAAAAGTGTTTAGAGTAGTTTTTTTATGTGATAGAGCTATGCTGCCGCTATATTATAAAGTATGTGTTAATTACTCTAACATGCAGGTTGCTTAATTGGTGAACAGAACTGTCTATATAGCAAAGGAGTGATATAAGTTGTCTTTTCAACGAATGACGTTGTGGGTGTTTTCAAGACCGAAATGAATAGGCTTTTGTTACATCAGTGTGCTTTACCATCTTCGACTGCATCATCACTCTCACATAAGGTAGGATAATAATAATAATAATGTCCTCCAGATCGAATTTCGGTCACGGCGGCCAACCTTAAGGGTACACTAGTCGCTCATTTTTCCATACAAACGTAGTCTGGCGATTAATCCACTGTTTGATGGTGTACGTTCAAAATAAAAAAAAAATGATTTCAATTTGTCTCATCATTATCTAGCCCTGTATGGAAACAAAAAAGTAAAAAAAAGAATGTATTTAAAAGTACTAATTTTATCACATCTTTGGGCGGAAATAAATACCATAAGAAGAACGAAAATTGCAAAACAGTTACCATACAGGGATAGATTAGGTGTTCAAAATTGCAAATAATTTTATTTTGAACAGACGCATTCAATAGATTTTTCATGATATCCAGATTCCTAAAGGTCTTTTTATAAAATTTCGCGCACTAGTTTCGTTGTAAATTATCATGCCTTTCGCTTTCGCACGTGATGTCGGCTGAGATAGCATGCATTTTAACCCCGCCCACCACTTAGTTCTCGCCATCGACTAGGGCCGCCTTAACGGAGATTAGCCATTGGATCGCAGTAGATATAGACAGGATTATAGTGCCCTTAGTATGCGCAGGCACAGGTGCACTCTCTCTTCCCTCACTCTCGTAATCCGATGGGACGGTAAACCGACACGACCGGAGAGACATCAGGCGCAGGACCAACGGCTTTACGTGCTTTCCGAGGCACGGGGGTGAGACACCGCCAATTTTCTGACTCCGGGCAACTACTGAGAATTTCTTAACGGAAAAACTCAATAACTGATTTGTTTTGCCCGACCCGGGATTCGAACCCGGGACCTCATGATCAGCAGTCGCACCACTACACCACTAGACCAACAAGGCAGTCAGGTGTCAGTCAAAAATCTGTGTATCATCCAAGTGGCTGTCTTAAGAGACGATGGAAGAAATCTGACTTAGGAGATAGCAGTAGCATTTTCCTTATAACAATTCAAAATTATTAATTTTTAATTAAATTTTTTTTTGATACGTTTGGTTAGGTATAGTGAAGGAGGGGTGTAAACTGTAATGCTGAATGATGATTTTTTATCTACCCTGTGCTAGCTTTTGAAATGTACAAAAAGAGTAGTGTAGAGATTCTATGATGTCGTCGTATGAGACAAAAGTGAATGCGAATGTATGAAATAATATGGGGATACTTACATGGTAATAAATGTGGCGTGCGCGAACGTTGGGTGGCGTTATAAAATACCATTACCATCGCTCGCCGACGTTTGTTTTGCCAGATTTAAAAAAGTTCTAAATTTTCAACAAATTATAGTTAAGCATGGGTATTACAAATAAAAGTTAAAATTTTCATATTTAATAATAATACAATGTTTTAATATTTTTGTGTTATATTATTACAGCACCTGTGTAACCCTTTCGAATTAAGTAGGGTTTTCTTTACATATTGAATTTTTGCAGAGTCGTTTTGCATCGTACCCCTATACAAGATGTATAGTTGAGTTTTAAACTTTGTTCTTACTGTCCGTGTATCAGGTGCTAACTGGTGCGGCGTTCCATCACAAGATCTGGTCGTGGTACTATACGTACAAGATGCCGGCCGAGATTCGAAGCTGGGTCGATGAGCATTTCAACTGCGAGGACATCGCGATGAACTTTCTAGTCGCGAACATCACCAGAAAGCCGCCGATTAAGGTAGGAATTGTTTGTTGTTAGCAACACTGCACCTTTTCTTATAAAACTGAAATGACAAAAGGGCTTTTTTGTGTGCGAGCAGCTGTGCAGGTCTAAAAAGACCAGTAAGACTGCGACCTATAGGATTCATTGTGATCGCTGCTATGGCTGTGGTTCACTACTAAGCCCATTTATTGTCCACCTGATGTAAGCCTACTTTAAACAAACACAGCTACAGATTCTTTGTTACCTCTGAGGATTAAAATGGAATGATTCGCAGCCTGTTGTTAAACTGGCTCTCTGTACCCTTTATTAACACTTCAAATCCTTGTAGTCCTTCCCTGGTTTAGCCGACCCATACGTGACAGTCTAGGCGGCTCCTTTAGCTTTTCCATCTCAAAAAGCATCAGCCAGAAACTTTCCAAGGCGTTTTAAATTTAAGCTCCTTTGGTATTAACCGATTCAAGCTTGGTTCCATCTGCTTGAATTGCTATCAATATAAAATTCCTTAAAATTTAAAAAATAAATAATTCAATTTTAAAGCCCACAATTGTTGTCTTGAGCGACCGCGCTCAAATTATCGATAATGTGTACTGCGTGTACACAACTCTAGCGCGTTATGGCCGTGACTGTCACGAGCGTTGGTGTCTATTATAATAGCACCCCACATTTCTTTTATCCAACTACGTAAAAAAAATAATTTTAAAATAATAATAATAATCGCTAAGAATAATAATTGACCTTTTTTATAGATAAAATGGGTGACAATCGAGCACACAGTCCACCTGATATGGTAAGTGCATATTGTGGCTCACATATCTACATTTGCCCTCGATTAAGAATCAAAATGCAGATGCGTTGTCACCTGTGAGGACTAAGATGGAATGCTTTGTTTCCAGTAAAAAAGATCTTTGGTTCTCTACACCAATTATACGAAACACTGCAGCATTAAGCTGCTCTTTTACGCTGGTATTCTGTAAGAGTGTGGTCATATATCTCGGTAAAGCCGAACTATTCGTGCTACCACCACAACATATTTGCAGCGTTGCTGCTCTACGTATATATAGCTGCAGCATAACTCTATCACGTTCGTTATTGGTTTTTATAAACTGATAGCATTAACCTGCTATTCTATGCTAGTATTCTGTGAGAGCGTGGTCCTAACCTGGTTCAGCGGACCTAATTGTGTTACAACCATGATATAGTTGCAGCGTGGCTCTACCACGTGTTCCAGGTGACGCCGCGCAAGAAGTTCAAATGTCCCGAGTGCACGAACACGGAGATGCTGTCGGCCGACGCTCGCCACATGTCGCAAAGGTCGAGCTGCATCGATCGCTTCGCCCGCATCTACGGCAACATGGCACTCAAGCCGGTTGAGTTCCGTGCAGACCCGCTCCAGTACCGGGAAAACTCCGGAATCCCGCAGCTTTATCCCGATATCGGCGCGCTTTGAGGTAAATGCCGATATAGCCTACTTATATATTGATGTATAGGCCTGATATATAAACCCGACTGACTTTTTATTGTTATGTATGGGTGTAATAGGTGAACAGGTTCAAAGTCGAACTTCACAGATTCATTTATAATTGCTTTGCGTAAAGTAGTGTGAAAATAATATGAATTTCGATATTTTTAAGAGCTTTATTTATTTTTTCCTAAATTAAAAAGTTTATTTAATAGAAATTGAAAATGTCTATGCCGTAGACTTCTACTTTGTTTATAAGTAACACCTATATTTTTTATGTGTTAAAAAGTCAGCCGGTATAGCTTAAGAAAACATATTGAGTTGGAACAGTTGGTTGATTGTAAATTGAAACATTTTTCAGCAACTGTCTCTCCAAAAACAACGTGGAATGCTTTAAAACAAAGTGACATAGGCTCTTGTTAAGCTAAGCCAGGGCGGTTTCAACGTATTGAATTATGAACAAACAAATGAACAAATGAAACTTCTTTAAAAATTAAATTACGAACTTTTGTTTTTCTACATGACAATTAAACCAAAGCCTTATTTTTATTGTACATAAATTATAAACGTCAATTATGTTAACCTGAGAGGGGCCTTATAAATTTTTGTTAAATTTCTGGAGGAATGGACAATAAAAATTGAAAGGCTGTACGGAAAGGTATAGGTTTCGTCCCCAATACCAGGGTATATAGTTTTAACTACCAATAATAGTTTTTTCATATTATTAATTTTGTAACTCAAATTAGTACCAGATAAATTTCCTCTAAAGCTCCCGTCGTTATCAAATGTTTTTGGGGTCTTCACTCACCATTTATCGATAAGATAATTGTATCGAAATACGTACTAACGCACATCACTATTTTCTGACCATAAAAACTATTAGTGCGAACTAGAGGTCCGATATAATATCCTAAGCCCAGTTATCAGAGAGGTACATTACTTATTCTATTTATTTTAATCTGTGCCATGAAATGTTTCTCTTGAAACTTTAATATTAATTGTATAGAAATATTTATACAATACTTATATCTTTTTTATAAAGGCAGCTTTTATTGACCAATGTATCCATTTATTATTTTAATATCAAATAAATTATGATTGTACATAATTATAATACTATAAATATTTAAACATGGGTAGATTTTGTTGTGGAATTGGGTAGTTGACACCATTAACTCAGGTTGGGTCAGTCTGGACTGGTTCTCCGTTTTAGAAACCGACCTAAATTTTGATCTTTAAAAATATACAAATTAGGTGTTTATTTGCCTACATTAACTATGACGTCAATAGTGCCAATCTATTTAAATCGAGATCAAAAAAACGGGAACGTTCTATATTTTACGCATTTTAATGTATTCTCACCGATCTCTCGGAATCGGATAAATCGATTTAAATTATTCTTCTTTTATTAAATAGGTTATAATTCAGGAGTGTGGTCCTATATAAATTTAAACAAAAATCATCGCTAGGGATGTTAAAAAAGGCGATGGAGATTTTTTCGCAACTATTTAGACGACATTCTAGTTTTTATTAAAAGTTTAACTATTATAGAATGTATTAATTATTTCCAATGAAATGAGTGTCAACTGCTCTATTGACTCTTTGAATGCGATCAAATTAATATTAGGTATTATTTCCATAATTTATATTTATATCAATCACATTAGTTTGAGTTTTATGATCCATAACTAATTGGGCATAGAAAATTTAAGCTAGCGCTTATCCAATTATTTAAACATATAAAGATAACCGTGGGTTTGCACTGACGCGATTTTCACAAAAATAAAACATGTTTTAAACACTGTTTTCTGTCAATGTATCAAAAAGCGTTTGCATAGTCAAAGAACATGTTGTAGTGAAATATGTATGACAGTTTATGTACATTACATATTTTCACTATATTATATCTTTATAACTACAGAAACAAAATGTTTGAAAACAAATTTGTAGAAATATTGTCATGTTGAAAGATAAGTTTGAATATCTGTTGAAAATTTTACACAGTTTTTGTAAGTGCGAACGCCACCATCAACAAAACATGTTGTGTGATTTATTTTATGCGATTTGCTTCAAAACATTACGTGTTGGATGTTTCTCATTGCAAACGTACTGTAATACTATGACTTATTTATCGCTTCGCGTTTACTCGACCCTATATTATTGTGTTGTCGTTGGTAATTTTTCAACCTGTCCAGGTTGCTCATATTTCTATTGGTTTTTGTTTAAAGAAACTAATGCTTATCCAAAATAAAACAACAGATAATGAATGTTAAGAGAGAAGAGTTGTTGTAAAGGGTCGATTTTCAGAAACCCTCAGTGCTTTAAAGTTCCCAGGTTCCAATACAATTATTTTAAAAAGTGTTTTCGGTGAATTTTTTCTTGTATATCTCGAAAACAAATAATAATATTAAATTCAAATCACTTTTATTGGAGTCGTATTTGCGAATGAATTTTTTTTTAGTTTTCATATTAATCGGTTCAAGTTTCTTTTTTTAAATTAATCGAACTTACATTTAACAACTTAATATGATCATATTATTGGAGACGAGGCTTTCATACTCATTTTTTATTTAACTTTATTTAACTCTGTAAATTATTTACATAATATATATTTTATACGTGCAGCGGTAAACACTGCCAGGTTGTGTTACCAACGAGAATATAAAATGTTTGCCTAGGTACCTCGTAACTTGCCATTCCTTTCGCTTTAGGTTTTTAATGGGTTTAAGACAATAAGTTTAGTTTTTAATATATTTTGTTTTAATTTGAACTCTGGTGCTTTAGGGGTGTATTGGCAGGTCATTTTAAATAAATATAACGGTGGTGTGCTAATATCGATTTAGTTATTTTTTGTCCATAATTTATTATAACTTTAATATACATCCATTTGGGAATAATAATTTTAACTAATTCTATACTACCGTTGTTTATAACAATGTCGTATATTATTTTAACTTTATTACTAATTGTAAGAAACTATAAAATTAATACAAGATTTCTTGACACTAACTCTAAAAGCCAAAATATAAAAAAGCGTGGACACAATTCTATGTACGTATATAAAATTTAATGTTTGTTAGTTTGTCCCGTGAATTCTAATCCTTTGCATATATTATAGTCTATCTGTAAAATTATGACTTAGATGACACTACCGATTTAACACCATTAAGTCAGCGCCACACTTGACGGAAATTCCGACGCCGAACTTCCGCGGAAGTAAATCCGTTACCATATGTTGCAGCCACACTGAATATTCAGTGGCAGATTATCAGTTGACTGCCAACGCTTATACGGTGTGGTCGTAATAGATCCGATAGAAGTGATAGCTATTTATGAGGCATTAGAAGAAGAAAGAAAAAGAAAGCGTAAATATTGGGTTCATCCCTTAAATACTCTTCGACTAGAAATTGGGCAATTTCATACTTTGTTAGACATAATCCACATTCATAAAATAAAGCATTCGAATATTATCGAAAGTCCATACAATCATTTGATGTATTGTTGAATTTAACGAAGGACTATATTACCAAACAAAATACAAAACTTAGAACGGCTATATCTCCTGAAAAAGGACTGATCGTTACATTAAAGATATATATTAATAGAATGATTATTTTATCTATATCTTATGAATTATTATATTATGATTAATCAAATCTTTAATTTTAATTGAATTGAATTGCTGGACCTATTCTGAAATATTTCCTCAATTGAGTGTGCTGTTTTAGTTTCAGCTGATTGAATTGGATGAACTTGAGTTTCAATAGATTCGGGTGACTGTATGGTCGAATAGGAACTTGTACTGTTTGTATTCGTAGTATATGGTTGGTACACCGGCGGTGACCCATCTGCTATATATGTTATAGGTGATTGTTCGTATGTACTATAGCTGGGGTGGTTGTAAGAATACGTTTGATTATGTGATGTGTTGTATGGGTATATTTATGGTTATATTATATTTGATTTTATAATTTAAATTCATCACTTCGATTCTGAACTCACAATTTTGTCTTTCATTCAGGCTCTTGATTTGAGGAAGTAAGAAAAGTAAAAATTTCGTGTCGGCATCTTCAACTTCTTTAAGAAGTGATTGTTGCTTTTTATTCATTGCTGTAATTAAACTCTGTTGAAAGACTGTCATTTTAGGTTTTCTTTTTATTTGAGAGGTCCCTGGAACTTCATCAGTTTGAGGTGGATTCAAATTGTCAATTACAGTTAGTTGTGAGTTTGCATTACTTGATAATTCATCACAAGAATTTTCATTTTGGCGTTCTATCCGACTTTTCTCTAGAGTCCCTAAGGCAAACTGTTTTTCACTTCGATAATAAATCGTTCAGTGTCGAACATTCTGTGCGTGCGCCGTCACCGCGAGTTCTCCGCCGAATGTGGCGCGATGCATAAAAATACCTGGAACGCGATGTTGCCGATCTGACGGAAGATCGGTGCGCGGAGGACGGAGCAGACGCGAGAGCGAGCGGTCCGCCACGGAGCGACCGATCTTCCGCGTAGTGTGCCCACTATTTGTAATTTATATATATGAATTTCCGTCAAGTGTGGCGCTGGCCTTAAAGTAATCCTAACAGTTCAATGATTGGATAAAAATGGTTTGTAGTAAATACACCACTAGGGGTTAATTTTTAAAGAGTAGCCAAATTTTAAACTTAAGTTCAAATATACATGTAACAAAAACCCTGTGGTTCCCGTTAAGTGCGTTATCAGAATCACTGTCCATGCGTATAGAAATAGATATATTTTGAAAAAAAAAAAGAATTAAAAAATTAATTTTAATGAAAAGAAATTAATTTGTAATTTGTATGTGGTTTTATTATCTCTGCATTGGCCGAGGAGTAAGAGGATTGTCAAAGACCCCGCATTACCGATAATAGTGTAAGTTAGAGGTAATAAAACCACATGCAATTTGCAATTTTTTTAATTATAACTAATTTTTTAAATGTGTTTTTTTTTTGCAAAAAAACTGATTTTGATAA